CGCTCACTGCGGCTGTTGGCCGCTCACGCTGGCTGCTGGCTACATACGGTAGCCCATGGCAGCCCACTGCCACAGGGGCTGCAGTCTACACCGTCGCCGGCGACTCAAGGCAGCCCAGCTCCAGGTCGAGCCGTTGCCCAGCATCTTAGCTGTAGAGGGCAGTGTCACTGGCCCTCATACGTGGGATCCGAACCGGGGCCCTCTGGCATCCCAAGCCAGCTCCCAACCATCACGCCACTCGGCCGGCCCCACAAGTTTGCTTTTAAGTCTTGTTCTTTGAGACATTAGCATATGTTCTCAGTGCGCTATATTTATTAATTCAATCAATCATTCAGCACAGATTTATTAATATTCACTATAGTCAAGACATTGCATTGGATACTACAATTGATTTCACTGTTTTTGAAATATTTTATAATTAAATTCTGTGTGGGGGCTATTTAGCAATACTATATAGTATGAATTCAATATACTGTTAAAAAATCATAGGACTAAATCAGTTGACAAGCACCCTTTATTACTTTCAGAAGTTCTTCTCTGAAGAGAATTATGGAATTATAGTTTTCTCCAGCACCCCATGGTTATATGTAAGAAAAAACACAATCCAGAGGGAGAAAATAACTTGTCTGAGGTCACAGAATAACTGAGAAGAGAGTCAGTAGCAGAACTCGGGTCTCCCGGCTCAGCCTAATGCACAGGCCCCTTGGGCCAGCCTTGAATCAGAGCATGTAATTAAGCTGAACATCTGGACCCAGCAGATGTTTTTACCCTTCACTCCATGGACTCTTCCTGTTTATCCTTTCCCCAGGTCTCCCTCCTCACACTTAGCAAGATATTACACCAAAGCTCCTAAGGAATCTCTTGACTGAAGATCCAAAGCTGGCTTCTTCTTGTGGGTATTGGGCTTATCAGAACCACCTTGGGGTCTTTATTATCCTTCATGATATACTGAACATAAGCCCTATTCAATCTGCTGCCATCAGATCCAGCAGATAAACTACTCCTTTCCTTACACCATCTCCTTTATTTGAAGGGTATCACTTTTTGCATTGGGGAAGGTTCTTCAAGGCCATTGCCTCATCCAGTATGTAAGCCCTATTGAAGACATGCTCCCTACATCATCATGTGGGTGCCTTTCACCTGCTACCCCAGACTCTCTCTCCTCATGACTTGAGGACTGATATCCTACAGAAGACTTTGAAAAACTGACCAGCAAAAACCTAACCAAACCAAACCAACCCATCAGCCTCTCTGGTTTAGTCTTCCTCACTCACAGAAGACAAACCTGTTCTGGGGGCTGGGACTTTATTCCTATTCACAATAGGTATTTTAACTTGAGGAAGATCTACAAAGGTGCCTCAGTGCAACAAGTCAGGCAGTGCTGCCTTATTTTAGGGACTTCCTTTCCTTCCTTTCTTCCTTCCTTTCTTCCTTCCTTCCTTCCTTCCTTCCTTCCTTCCTTCCTTCCTTCCTTCCTTCCTCCCTTCCTTCTTTCCTCCCTCCCTCCCTTTCTCTCTCTCTCTCTCTCTCTCTCTCTCTCTCTCTCTCTCTCTCCCTCTCTCTTTTCTGTCCCTTTTTTCTTCTTTCTCTTTTCTTGCAGTTTGTAAATCCTTAGACTTCTATTATTTAAACATCTTGCTATTTGGTAATTGGCAAGTCACTGCCATATCTGGCCCAAGATGCCACAGTTTAGTTGACTGATTAATGGTTGGTTGGTTGGTTGGTTGGTTGGTTGGTTGGTTGATTGAGTAGACTTTTCTGAATATGATGCTTAGTTCAGAAATACAAGAATCACAGAATCTCTGGGTTGGGTATACTGAGTCTTAAACTGTAGCTGCACATTAGAAGAGCTTTTATAAAATACTGATGCCTAGGCCCCCACCTTCACAGTTCTGATTTAATTTGGTCTTGGGTCTCAAAGACTGTCCAGGTGATTCTCATAGGTAAACATTGTTCAGAATCTATAGATCTATAGAGCTACAGATAGAGCTATAAGGTTGTCCAGGCAACCATTGATCTGATATTTAAATCCCTTCCATTGGGTCTAGAATGATGACACTTTTTGAAACCAAGATTCTAGGTAGTGTTATCTTCCAATAAATCTTCCTGGGTACACAAACTCTGCACTGCTGGTATAAATGGAAATAGCAGATAATGGTTAGTGGTAGACTGGAACCTCCCCTCAAAAAGCCATCAGTGCTTAGCTGTGGCCCTTTCCAATGTCAGGGGAATGTCCTCCTAGGTCAGTGGTTCTCAACCATGAGAAATCTGTCTCCCAGCTGACATTTGACAATGTCTGGATACATTTTAGGTTCTTACAACTTGAGAGAGCGCTACTGGCATCTAGTAAGTAGAGGTCAGGGATGCTGCTAACCATCCTACAGTACACAGGACAGCCCCCAAGCAAAGAATGATCCAGAGCAAAACGTCAATACTGCCAAGGTTGAGAAACCCTTTTTGAGATCCTTGATCTCAGGTTCACTTTTCTCCCCCAGGAAATATCATCCTTAATTAATTAGTCCTTCTTTCTGAAGCATAATTTCGATAGTGTTTTTCAAATCAACATTTTACATCCTTTTTAAGTAATCCCAAAATGTGATAATTCTGCATTGCTTTTAAGAAATAAAGGCTGCTATCTGACTGTGTGCCTGAGAAGCAGAACAACCCCAGCGTTGCCTTTTCCACTTGCTGCTTGCTGTGCCCCCTGGCTGTCCCTCTGAAATACAGAATGAGCTGAGCCCCATAACCTAATGAAGGCCCTGCCAACCCTGCATTAACCAGGCAATCAGTGGAGCCATTCCTCAGGGTGCAGGGCACTCCATGAAATATCCCAAGGCTGCTGGGTTTATTAGCTGCCCGCCTGGCTGGGTCAGGGCTGCTGCCAAGTTGATTATTAAGTACCAGGCTGACACTTTGAGTAGGGCCCAGACCCACTGATTTTACTCCCCACTTCCTTAGGTCATTTCATCATTAAATTAAAGATTGTTGTGATTTAAACTGAACCGTCAGGCAGCCTGGGGACAAACGTGGGATTTGGTAAAAAAATTGAAACCTGGTACTGCATTTACCAAATCCCATCTCAGCTGGGTGTTTTTTTCTTTCTCTTCAAGAAATAATTCAAAACTCCAAGGGCTAGAAGTAGAAGTAGAACCTTCCCCTGCAGTGTAAGGAGCCCACACAGAGAGGCTGGCATGCCAGGAAAGGGAGCTGATTATAAATAGCTTAAAAGCAGCATCAGTCAAAACTCACTGATGTGCCTGAGCAAAATGTTAAACGAAACAAACAGCTTCTGAAATAAGAAGGAATGATCTTTTTCTTTTTTTCTTTTTGTAATTGAAAGTGCTAAGGAACAAAGACAATATCTATGCATGTAGGTTATACACACACACACACACACACACACACACACACACACACACA